TGTTTTAGCAAAGTAGGCAAAGGAGTGAGTTTGACATCAGAAGTATCCAGGTGCACTTCACAGAAGTATTTACTCATTTCTTTGCTGATGGTTCTAATTTCATTTTTCTTTTGCAGAAATTTCCACACAGCAGGATGAATACTTTCAGTAAAAGGATCAGGCAACTTCCATCTTGGTCTGTCTTTTCCATATAGGGCTGTTCCTATAGATGTATAGAAGGGATAAACATTTACAGGGACTTGATAAATGTGATGCTTCCTTCCTTGTATGGTTTCTGTGACTAAAAGAAAAAATAGTATTTAATAAAAAAATAACTGCTTATTTTCTATAGGACAAGCTGAGTCATTAGTTTGGCTTGCTCTTCACTTTGCCAGATAGCTAACAATTTTGAGGTGTGTTTTGTGACATTCCCTTGCTTATGAATGAGGGACTACCAGTTAGTCATGAACCTGCTGGAATGACATGCATTTAAAATAAATGAAGGCCGTTGTTACTGAGATCACCAATCCCTGCACCAGCAAAGACGCCCAGAACATGGTCAGGACATGAGCTCCTCATGTTCTTGCCCTCTCTGCATCTAATGGCAGTTAATCTAAAATAATTCTGATTCTTAATGTCTCAATAGGATTGATATATAATCTTGCTAATGAACAAGTGTGTAAAGAAGTTTAAAGTTTAATTATGGTTTCAAGCTAGTGTACTCAAACCTTTGATTGGTATTCTTTATCATTTTATTAGGGGTCCAAACACCAAGTGTGCTGAATCCCTATTTTTTCACTTTCTTTCTTTTTGTATGCATGAACTCCATACAGCACTCACACAACCCATTACTGACCTGATAACTTACTGGTCTCTCCTTCCTAGAAAAAGAAAAAAAGATGACAACATATACAACTAGCTGCATTTGTATTATTACATTCTTCCACATAATTATTACAGATTGTTACCGTCTGAGGCGGCTCTGCTTGCGTAGAGCTCGCCGAAGAATTAACGCGTAGTTTCACTTCCTTGTTTTCTATCGTAGTTTCATGGTCTCCTTTCTCTAGCACTTTCCTCCTAACTAAAGACACAGACGGCACTACTTGACGTAACGAAGAATAACAGCCACGCAAATATATACAAAATAAGAATTTGTCATTTAAATGATCAGTTTACAATTAGTGTAGAGAATGATTTATGCGCAGTTCGATTATTTACTATTTAAGTTTTAGTATTAACAATACACCCTGTATGACATTTCNGTATTGAGCACCTGACTTGCGTTCCCACAGATGTCCAAAAAAATCTCCTAACCAGACATTCAAACACGGAACTGCACACCTACATCCAAGAGAGATTATAGTCAGACGTCCGAATACTGAACCTGAGTTGCCTGTCATGCAGACGTTCAGATGTGGTCCTGGACCGACTGACCCAATATAGACAATCTACACATCTGGCAGTTGTCACATGTTTGCTGGGAAAAGCAACCCACACGAAAGCTACACGGAGCCTAATCTACACCGATGGACACTGTTGGCAACTGGCACCCAGCACTAATAGCTAGGAAAACACAACGGAATATACATAGAATATAGAAAGGAAAAATCATAAGACGACACAGAACTGGTCATTCACAATTAACTTTGCTTACTTACCAGTGCCGATGGCCGGAAAAGAGACGGAAATAAACCGCTTCTCTTCACACACCTGAAGCACCTTGTAGACCACCTCCTTGATTTTATTGGGGTCAGTCTGCCCGACAATGTGAATTATGTTTTTACAGGACAGCTGTCCCGACTGGGTGAGTAAATAACCCTTGTGTGGCTGGGAACCTGAAAGAGTGAATATATTAAAAACAAAAACAACAACTTATGTGCACAGTGGGAACCAACTAAGCAACTAAGCATGACCCAGTGTTTAACTGGGGAGGGGGGACAGAGTCTGACTGGATCAACACAATATTGGTTTGAAAAAGGAAGGATAAAATATCCTTTTCAGCAAAAAAGAAAATAAAAACCAGACTCAGATATCTGTATTAAAGACCAATACTGGTGCCACAACAGGTATCTGATCGGGTTTACAGGATGGGAGAAAGGGAAGGACGAGGGAATCAGCACAAAGCACAGACCTAACTTTACTTCCCAAAATGGCCTCCTGTTATCACAATACATTCCAATCTGAAGAATAACCGTCTACATTAACACTGATTTTTTTGTTGCCAATTTACAATAACAAATCTTGTTTAGGCAACAATGCAAAGATCCAGGCAGGAAGAGACACTACTGGTGTAATTCCAGACAAGAGCAACTAAATTTTAAACATTTAAAAGAAGCAGCACTTGCTAATTTTGTCCTTAAGCTCCCCACTGTGAGGTTTCTTTTGTGCACTATGGAGGATCTAAGTGATGGAAAGAGTTGTGAGAAGCACAGACTGCAAGACTTACCCAACCTTTTACATTCATCCTCCACAGCAAAGCCAGCTGCCATCAGAATTGCTCTGGAAACACCTGCAGTAACCATGGAGGCAAGGAATGTGGACTAGCTTGATGATAAAGATGCAAAGCAATGGCATTTCTAGCCGATATCTAGGTGGAAGCTTAATGCGTCTATGATTAACTGATATGGTCCTGGACCGACCAACGCAATATATTCATGATCTAGACGTCTGGCAGAGGTTTCACTAAAAAATATTGTCAATGTAATTGAATTGCATTTCACAGGAAACCAGAAGAGGTTTTCCCAAAATGAATATATATCATGCAACAATCACCTGTTTTGAGAGTGAATGATTCATTAGAGGAGTTGACAATGGCGTCCGTGTTCTGCTTGGTGATGTCTCCAGAGGACACCTCCAACATCAGGCTTCCTACACGCATCATATACACACCCAGGGATGGTGTAGAGATTTGGCTAAAGAATCCTGGATGGAAGAAGAAAGACCATGAAGGTGGACGTGATTCTGCAGGTATAAAAATTTTATGAGTAACTACTTGGTTGGTGAAACTGTTGATGAACACCACCCCCCCCCCCCATGCGTGTTTCTAGGTGTGCACACACTGCAACAACAGATATAACTACCAACTGCATAGCAGAAATGAACATGATTTAAAATTTGCATAGTTTTCATCCACAATCAACAACTCTGCCAATTAGGTTTGCATTCTGGTGTTGTTTAACAGTGCTTTATAAATAAAAAAAATGATTGATTCCATACACTGGTGGCAGAGGCTGCCATGCAAGGAACCAACCTGCACACTGGGAGCAATTTGGGGTTCAGTGACTTGCTCAAGGACACTTTGACGGAGTCAAGAGGAACCAGGGCTCGAACCTGCAACCCTCTGGGTGCTGAATAATAGCACTACCTCCTGCACCACCCTCTTCAATCAATTTGCCTTAAGTGACTTTTGTGCATGCGCACATCATGATGACAGAAGTTGCCCCCCCAAAAGTGAAATGCTGATCTCAGATGACTTCCTACCTGAGGAGCTCTGTTGCAAAGGAATAGTGGGGCCAGTGGCTTGTGGAAATTCATCATGCTGCCCGTATCGCCCCCTTTGGGTCAGCTTGTAGTCTGCAAACTGTCTTCTGAAACACTGGAATGGAAAAATGGACAGATGGACTCATAAATACAATGATGCCATTCAAAGCACCTCAAAAACAGTAACTGTTTTACAAATAGCTTTGAATGCAAAGCTCTTCTTTATTTGTGTCCCAGTAGTATATTAATTTTAATTGGCTGAGGGCATCTTCAGGCTCCTGTACAATTAAATATGTCAGAATCCAACAACCCCAGAGAAAGCTATGACTGCATAATGAAACAATTTAAGAAGTGGGAACATGACCAGAATTTTCGACCAGCAATAAAAAAATTGATAATTTTTAAACCATTACAAGATTTCCACAGCACATATTTTGTCTTTTTCAGTAACAAAACAAGATTCCTGCTGAGTTACTGAAAGTTGGCCTTTGGTATCCAGGGGGATCGGTTCCAGGAACTCCGGCAGATACCAAGATCCATGGATGCTCAAGCCCCTTATATAAAGTGGCGTAGCATTTGCATATGACCTAATCTTCCTGTGTATTTTAAATCATCCCAAGATTACTTATTACCTAATACAACGCAAACAACAAGCCCACTGCAGACCTTCATTTGAGGCATTGACAACCACATCAGCTTGATACTTGCATAGGTCAGCTTTGACAACTGTGATAATCAATCCATTGGGCATCTGTACCTTACAGTAAGTTGACAGGCTACCTACTTTCTCCATTTCCTCCGGTATCACGTCCTCCTGCAACACCACCATGCAGTTAGTATCCCTCAGAATCAAGGTGCTGAACACGTTTTGTTTCTCCAGAAAATATTTCGTTGCTCCAGGTTTGACAATCTTCAGGAAATCTACATGAAGAGAGTTTACTATTTTTTGAAAGAAGCTCTTCACTTCCTGGACAGAGTACTGTGTTCCATTCAGTTGTATACGGGGTCTCTTTGACTCAAAAAAGACCTCAGCATCTTTAGAGGTTAGAAAAGTCTTCCAAGTCTGTATTTTCTTCTCTTGAATAAATTTTACGACTGCAGCAGATTGGACTTGGACAACCTCTTGCACACGTGTATCTTTGTTGATAAAATC